AGCTCCAGAAGATCATGGCATTTTTATCAATTTTATTAAGTGCAACTGCAATTTTATCAAGTGATAATCTTGTCTGTTTACCAGAAAACAACATAATCAGAAATATAACAAGAAAATTATTTGCAATGAGAATGATCCCCAGTGTTACATGAATGAATTATGGTTATAACCAATGATTAGACAAGCAGTTAAATTCAACATAAGATTTTTATAATCATAGTACACATTCTTGTCTTTAAATTCTCCCAGTTTCACCCTACCCTACCTATACAACCTCCTGCAGTCCTATACATACATTCATACCCTCCACTCTTCTGACTGGCCAATTACCATCAGTTTCTGTTTTCCAACCACCATCAGTTTCTGAGTTTTCAGCGACCATTCCCCGACATTTGTAACTCTCCTCCAAATCTTTGTCTGGCTACTTTCCCGCTTACCTTCAAAAAGCCTCTAATACATATCTCTCTTTGATTGTGCCTTTGTTTGAACCTTTAAATGTGTTATTTCTCTCCTCAGTGTCTACCACTGTAGCCCACAATGTTTTTATAGTCCTTTTAAAGAAGTTAATTAACGCACTTAGTGAAATTCTACTTAGAGAGTAATACGATTTTAGAAATGCACTGCTCCAGAAAACCCCTTTGATACTAAGTTAATTGAGGGGTTCAAGAAGATTCTGAATATACATTTGGGAAGTAGAAACATTAAAGGTTATGGCAGGATAGGGGACAAGCAGAGGTGATAAAATCTAGTGCATTGATTCAATAAGGTGGACAATTGGCTGCCGCGTTTGCCCACAAATATACAGTCAATTCACTTTACAGTGTGTTCTATGAAGCGCTTTGGGACGTCCTCCCGACGTGAAAAGCGCTATATCAAATGCAAGGATTATTATTATTATTATTATTGATAATCCTGTTTCCATTTATGGGCGAGTCCAAAACAAGCCAGGCATAAATATGCTAACAATAATACATACAATGGGGAGTTTACAAGGAACTTCTTCAAGTAGATGGCAGTGAGAATGTGGAACTCACTGCCGAAAGCTACGGTTGAAGCAAAAATTGTCATTGTATTTAAGAGAAAATGATGCATACATGAGGGAGAAGGGGATAGAGGGGTAGAGGAGAGTGGAATAGTTGGGGTGGAGGCTCATGTACAATAATGGCACCGGCATATACTAGTTAAGCCGAATGGTCCATTTTCTACCATGCATTGAATGCAATTCCATGGTTTCCCTGAATATTCCTAATTCTAAAACTATTTTTGCTTGCGAGCCTGTTCTAAATGATTACTGCTCTATGAATATCTTCTGATCTCTAGTTCTTTGTGGTTTTGGTACTTTTATACTCAAAGTCCTTGTTAAATAAGCAGCTTGAATCCTTTGCATTTTCTATTCCTCCCAGCGCTTTAAAAGTTTGTATCGTGACTCCTCTCACAATTTTCTTTTCACCCAAAGCAGGCTAATTTACTGTGAGTTTCTCACCACGGTTTGTAGGAGTATTGAATGCCAGAATTATCTCGTTTGTACACCAAATCTCTTTTTGAAAGTTGGCTGCCCAAAATAGCACACAATCTTTCAATCAAGGCGTCAGAATTGACATCTTGACAGTGAGGGATGGCAATTTTTCAATCACAGGAGGGAGGGGTAGGAGGCATCACTTTTGAACGTACTACTGTCGTTGCCCGATTTCCACTCGCCCTCCATTGGGATCTCTGGACAGCAATCAGTTGCCTAAACAATCTGATTATTTCCACCCCAAACCAGGGATGATGAGACTATTTGCTGCCCCAGTTGAGATAGGACATTCGGCCCAGACCCAGTGGTTTCAAATCCAAGACCTCCCAGCTTTCTGCTACCTGTATGCACCATGCTCCGAGAAGAGCTCAAACAATCTGTTTTCATTTAAAATCAATCTCCTCGAGGTGCATCCCTGTTCTTGATTAGCCCTTTTATGTTTATATATAGACACATAATGGATACCTGTGTGATTGCGAGAAAATCTCATCTCAGGGTTCAGATGAAGTCAAAATGTAAAGTCCTCGTCACTGGTGTCTTAAGAGTCTCATTAAACAAAGCAATGAGATTATGCCTTGAAAACACTTTGGCCCTTAATAATTAGAATGTACATCTTTATTCTCGTGTTTGTCTTGGCAATGATGGGAAGGACAATTTAACTCCCAGTCCTATTGAGTTCCTGGTATCTGTTTCTGCTGATGAGATGGGTGGGGGGGGAATGTAGTTATCATGACAAACATTGGGATTGAAAAATGTTAGTCAGGAAATTGTTACAGGCACCTGTCCATCAGAGACAATGCCTTGATAATTAAACTGCATCTGCAACAGGGAAGCCTGTGTTTGTCACCGCAACTTGTATAACCTCTGCCACCAGAGGCTCTCTGATCTGAGCTGAAGTCTCAGCCGTCAGCATGGCATAGATGAGCCTCACTAGAGGACACGCACTCTTTCCCTGCAGTGAACTACCAGTAATGTGGCGTTACATGTATCTGAGAAACAATAACATCCTCATGGAAGAAATAACAGTGGTGATTCAATCACTGGAAGTCCATCGAGTTTTAACCCCAAGCTTATGTACCAGAAGTTACAGAATTGACATATATATTATTTATAACATCCTTTCGGCCAGCAGGGTTTACATTGCTAACTTTAATCTGTAGTGAAACCCAAACCAGTTTCACCTGCAATGAAAGTGGCCAAGTCATAAAAGATACATGGCTTTAAAAACACCTTCAAAACAATGCATGTGCAAGCACACAGCCAAACAGGTAAATGGCTCATGCATGCAGGCTAGTCTTTTTAAACTCTATTTTTTTTCAACATGTAACTTCCAGGATAGATGAAAATAATAGAAGGGCCAAACTATATTTTTGCTGGACATCAAGAAGAGACATCATATAACTGATACACAAGGTATCCAGTAACAATCTCATTCAGCTGTATTCTGTCCCCAGCAGAATAGGATTAGTGCAATAACTCCAGTGAGAGAGTGGGCACAAGATTGATGTGATGGGCCCCCTTCGTTGTTCTAGACTGTCTATGAACCTATGGTTATATGTGAATCATGCAGTTCACCAAGTAAATTTTTTAAAATCTTTAATGCATTTTTTTTAAATATCTCCGACACGTGGCAAATTCCAATCACAATTAAAGTGAGGCTAAAAGCAACACCTGGTCAACATTAAGCCATACAAATCATTACATTGCAGGTTCAAGTTCTGATCAGTACTGAATCAGCAAAATTTCACCTGGAATATCACTGCGCAAAATGATGAGCACTGACCACCTCACTTTGTTACAGTTTCTGTAGTGTGGCCAAGTGGGTACAAAATCATAATCCCAATGCTGATAGAAGAGAAAAAACAGGAGCATAACCAATATATGCCCATATTCACCCACAAAATACACTTCACAGTACATCCTGTGAAGCACTTTCAGACATCCTCCTGACGTGAAAGACATTAAAATGAATACAAATGTGATGGGGTGCACTCTGAGGAGTTTAACGGAGGCCGATCATTAAAGTAGCATTTACTTTGCTACATCTTTTTAATGGAATTTTTCTTTAGGAAGACGTAGTGCAAAGAAAAATCACTATTTTCAGTTGGTCACCAGGAGGTGTTTAAAATTTAGTTAGGTTATTATCTCCTGAGATTTCAGTAATTCATAGACAAACAACGGAATATACACTGACGTGGTATAACATACTGGTGTAGCAAAACATACAACAGATCTAAAAAATCCCAACCAGCCCATAAAATCACAACTATAATAGGGCATGATTGCCATTTAGCACTTCCACTGTGCGCCAGACAGTATCTGCATAAAAAACGAATGACTTCTGGGTCATCGTGTCTGTACTGACATTTTCTGCGGGCTGTGTGTGCAAACCCACATTATAACAAAGCTCAGTATAATGGAGTCCTACTGTATATATTATAAGAACAGCAACAGATGTCACAGCTGCAGTAAATTAGGATTTAGATAAAAATCTATTAATTGTTCCCTATCTAAGATATCTTCTAAATAGTTTGACTGAATTACAACTTTGCAGCAGCACTGCAGAGCTCCAGCACAGAGTATCCCTGAGTGTCAAAAAGCGTGTTCATCCCCTGCGTCAAGAACATAAGAACATCACAATTGCTAGATGAAAGAAGACTAAGGTCCACCCAGTTCGTCTTCCACCAACCTGGTAGTCGCATGCACATGTCACGTTTCAAACTATATACTGTATTCCAAGATATTATTTCCTAACATAAATCTATCTAATTTATTCTTGAAAGAATCAACACTTTCTGCTTCTGTCTCCCTAGGGAGCCTGTTCCATATGTTTACTACTCGCTCACTGAAGTAGAGTTTCGGCAGATTTGTTTTGATTTTACCCCACGTCAATCACAGGCCGTATGATCTAGTTATACTGTTCAGTATAGTGTTGACTATAATGTTAATCTTATGCACTCTGCTATGGAAAGTGGAGAACAAACAATGGGGTGACGGAGAAAAATTAAGAGGGCAAATCATTGCCAGACTTACTCTCAGAGCTGCAACGCAAGAGCTGCAATGACAGGAGGGGGAACTTGCCTGCCTCCTTTCTCAGTTGTACTTGTGACATGGTTTGAAGGGAAGCTGACTAGGGCCACTACATTAAAAACAAGTTCTAATCTTTTGATCGCACTTTTGGGCATCTTTCCCTCTCTCTCTCCTCCCACCCACCACCACCACGACCAGGCAAGGGGCTGTGTGAAGCACTTTCATATGTCTTCCCAACATGAAAGTCATTACATAAATGTAAATTGCTATTGTCTTTTAATGATTCCAATGCACCAGTTAATGCAAAAACATTTTAGTTTCCAGCTGCATTTAAAATTCAGCTCAACAGAAACAGATCATTTTTCAGTGGATCATTGACAAAGATTCCAATGGCATCAGCACACCAAACATTAGATGCCAAGCATTACATAGCACAAATCTCAAAGCAACTCACATTTTCTTTAGACTTCTTAGATCCAGGGATGGGTGGAAGTGATGCTGCTTTGGACCTAAGATAAAAAAATCAAACATAAACCAGTGGAATCAGTATTGCACTATTTTCATTATAAAATAATAATGTTTTAATGATGTATTAGTCTTTTACTGAATCTCAACCAGACAATTACATCTGCATATTTAACCATTTTGGTTTCAGTGAAAACAGATAAAGGATGAGATAAAATAGGGATCCAATTATCTTCTGAAGTGGTACGTTAGATGTTAGGACGTCAGTTACGTAGTTGCTTGGAGACTTCCTCGAGCAATTTACTGCAAGGTGAATTCCTAATCTCATCTGTGATCATGTTCATTTGAGAAAGCAAGACTTTTGATGGCAGCTCAGGTTGAGATTTAAGACCAAGCATTTTCTTTCAGAGACAGGGTCGGGGGGGTGGGGGGAAAATCATAGGGACATAACTACGGTTCATTCATCCTCCATTTCCCAATCGCTAGCTACAAAGCAGCCTTAGTGCAGAACAGGTTTCTGGAGGCCTGAAATTCCTTGTGGTAACCTTAAGATTAAAATTGCAATATATAAATTTAAATTTAGAATTCTTACACTCAGTATTCATTTGGAAAATCAGATTCTAGATTAAAGACTGCAGTTAAGAATTTTCCCAAATTAACATAACACGTAGGAGCAGGAGTAGGCCATTCGGCCCTTCGAGCCTGCCCCACCATTCAATCATGGCTGATCTTCTAATCTAACTCCAGCTAATAACCTGACCCTGCCTTATCCCCATATCCCTTAATCCCTTTTGCAATAAGAAATCTATCTATCTCAGTCTTGAATATGTTCAAGGACTGAGCGTCAACAGCCCTTTGGGGGAGTGAGTTCCATATATTCACCACGTTTTGAGTGAAGAAGTTCTTCCTCAACTCAGTGTGAAAGGGCTGGCCTCTGATTTTAAGGTTGTGACCCCTGGTTTTAGTTTCTCCAACCAGGGGAAACAATCTCCCACTATCTACTCTATCATGCCCTTTGATGATCTTATAGGTTTCCATAAGATCCCCTCTAATTCTTGTATATTCTAGAGAATATAGTCCCAAATTGGTCAGCCTATCCTCGTAACTCATCCCCTTCATCCCTGGTACTAACCTAATAAATCTACGCTGCACCCCCTCCAAGGCAAGTACATCCTTCCTTAAATAAGGAGCCCAAAACTGCACACAGTATTCCAGGTGTGGTCTCACCAGGGCCCTATACAGTTGCAGCAAGACTTCCCTACTCTTATACTCTAATCCTTTCATATTGAATGCTAACATACCGTTCGCCTTCCTAATTGCTGCTGCACCTGCAGACTAACTTTCTGTGATTGGTGTACAAGGACACCCAAGTCCCTCTGAACGCTAACACATTCTAATCTCTCCCCTTCTAAAAAATAACCCGCTCTACTGTTTTTGCTACCTAGGTGAATAGGTAGGTTTTTGAGGCTCGACAACCTTAAATTTTAAGACTTCCGTGAAAATTCTCACATTCTTCATTCTAAGACAATAGTCGTAGAAAGAAGAATGTGAGAATTTTCACGGAAGTCCCCTGCCTTTCCCCTTCCCTCCCCTCCTTCAAAACCAGCCTCAAGAACCTACCTATTCGAATGTGCTTTTGCCCCCCACCCCATCTCCGCTCAACAAGCTCCAGCCTGTTCCACATCTCGCGCCCAGTCCACCATCGGCGATCAGGCCTCCAGCCTCTCTGACCCCACCCTTTGGAATTCCATTCCACATTCCCTTCACCTCGCTCCCTCCTCGCCTTTTTCAAGGCATGTTTCAAGACCTCCTTTCGACCGTCCTCAGCAACCCTCCTACCCTCCCTGCCCTTCACCCTCTCTTATCCCAACCCCTCCCCATGCTCAGGTCTAAATCCCTGACTGTCCAGCACCTTGGGACATCCCCCCGACATGAAAGGCACTATACAAATGTAATATTGTATTGTATTTCAGGCTCTCAGTCGCGTCAAACACATTGTGTTCCCAATGTGAAAGGGGGTAAATAAATGCAAATTGTTGTTCCTGAATATATGTGCCTGAAAAAACTTAGGACTCAGGGAGATTAGTAAAAGGAATGAAAGCATATACAACAAATAAATTGGAAGCAGAACTCCGGGGAAATGTTATTGTTGGAGAACATAACAAGCAGAGAATGAAAAGGAGCACAGATCTCTTACTTGTGACTAAAGACACCAGCTATGTGAGAACAAAGAGTTAGCATCTTATCATTTTTTTGCTGGGAATCTTGTGCTCATTGCACTCTGTATTATTCTATACAGAACCATTTATTTATAGTATTCAAGACTGAGGAGTTTGTGTTGGCCATACTTCAGCAGCTGTCTATCTGAGTAAACAACCTTCATTCAGGGTTGGAATCCAATCTCGTGTATGCACCAGACTGGTATAACTTTCAGGATGACCTAAGGTACATCGTAGGAGAAATACCATCATGTTGAATTGAACTGAAATTCATCATTGCAAATATGAATGAGAGAGATTTCAGTCGCATTCACCAACAAAATACACAGTCACTACACTTTACGGTACTTTGAGATGTCCTCCTGACATAAAATACGCTATATTAAATGCATGGATTATTATTACAAAACTATCCACTTTATAAAAACTTTTCAGCAGTGCTATTTTAAGCAGTACTCATACCCATTAGATCTTCTTGGGAATGACTTATTGAAAAGCAATTCACTATACGGCAACCTCTTGAATTTGTCACTGCCCACAGCTACATAAAAACTTCCATTTTCCAGTTCTGTGCCATCACTGATGGATCGTCCATCCAACGTATGAAGCCTAGAAGAAATTAAGTGAAATAATCAAATATCTTAAATGTTGTTACATAAAGTCGCTTTACAAAACCTACAGAAATTGAAAAATATGGTACAATAAATAATGATTGCAGTTTTCAAGCTCTAAATCTTTGGGATTACAGTGTGACCTTGAGTGTACAATAATGGCCACATTCAGCAGTGATATTTTAGCACATACTGAAACACTTGAGTAACCTCTGCTTGATTAGCTTACCATGGTAACGCTCAAATACTCATAGTCGAGTCCTGTAGCTCAATGGTTAGAGCACTCGCCTCGCAATCGAGAGACCTGGGTTTGATTCCTGGCAGGACTAAATGTTGGGCAAGTTTCCTTACTCCACACGCGTCTGTTTGCTTAGCAGTAAGTAGAAACCCGGCTGTTAGTCGTTTGCCGGATTGCTTTTCTGGGGGCAATAATTCCTTAAAATATTAAAAATAATAAATTGGTCGCTTCAATCCACTACTGTTTGTGGGACACTGCTGTGTGCAATTGGCCACTGTGTTTTGCCCACAAAATATACAATCAATTCACTTTACAGTGTATTCTGTGAAATGCTTTGAGACATCTCAAAGACATGATAAGGTGCTATATCAAACAATAATAATAATCCTTGCAAGAAATATTATTATTATTATTATTATTATTATTATTCAACAATCATAGCCATGTCAAACATCCTGAAGGTGACTGGCTAAAATGCCAGTTTGGGTACCACTACTGCTTCTAAACCATCCGAAAGGCCAGCAAACATTACCATACAATTCTGTCTTTAAATTGGGTGGAGGGGAAGAGGAGGGATGATGGGGAAAATTATGGGGAATAGAGGGGACAAGATCCCATTTTACCTGATTGATTGGTATCTGCAACAAGAGTGCAGATACCAATGTTTTTATACAACTGGCGAACTTGTCAGTCCTTGAACTTGTAAGCCCTCACTGTATCATCTGCCTTGTCATCTGCACTCAGGCAAGAAGCACAAAGTTCAATCGAGAAACTAACTCCCATCCCAGCATTCCTAATTTTAAAGGTGAAAGGCACCTACGTGCAGTGTATTCACAAAGACAGTGTTCCACATGTATTACGTGCAGTGTTTGGCAACGGAATGTCGGAATCCAGCCAACCCTCTGTGGCAATCTTGGTAGTCTAGCTCCTAAGCCAAGTGGGCACACAGTAATTCAGGGCATTGCTGATGAAAGCACACCCTGCTTGGTGCATCAGCAGGACCTGGAAAGACAGACCAGTCACAGGGGGTTTGGGACTCTTCCCACTCAGTATTTAACACTACATGCCAAAGCCCTAATGGGTAAGAGTGGTCCTAGTTGGACAAGCAGTCCAGTTTTAGCTGATTAGACTCCAGCAGTACCCCAACACATACTCTGAGGTTTCCAAGCCTTGGCTCTTGACCTTTGCCTAATACTTTCCAGAATTAGGTAAGTAGGATGCGTCCCTTCGGGGAGACAGTGCACATTCCATTCCAATAAACATTTCTGGAATGTCCACGTGTAGCTGGGATGCATTAAACTTTAGTTGGTATGCTTATAAGCATGGTGATGAGTTTCTGCATGGTCGCTCACTCCATGGCTGTTTGTGAGACATTGCTATGCGCAACTGGCTGCCGCATTTCACCTACAAAATACATACTTTACACTGTATCCTGTGAAGCACTTTGAGATGTCTCAAAATCGTGATAAGGCACTATACCAAATACAATGATTATTATAATTATAAATATTATCTCCAGATTGTTTTGCGAGTTTCATTTATTTCAATAAAAAAAAGTTGCATCCTAGGTCTATTTTAAAGCACTTAGTTGGCGAGACTGGTATAAAATAATGTGAACAGTAAGCAAATTACATTCAATAACATAGAATCTACAGCAGCAAAGCAGAACATTCGGCCCAACTTATCCATGCCTGTGCTTATACTCCACAAAAGCCTCCACCCATCCTAATCATCCTCATACACTATTCCATATCTCTCATACATGCTTCAAGTTTCCTCTCAAATATGCTGAAGCTTTGTGCTTCAACCATAGCTTCTGGCAGTGAGTTCCATGTTCTCACCACTTTCTGTGTAAAATTCCTCCTAAAGTCTCTTTTAGATCCGCTAATAGCCATCTCATATTTACACTCCCTTGTTACAGATTCACCAATAAGCTGGGCACGTTCACATTCGAAGAGAAGGTTGAGGAGCGATACGATTGACATCTTTAAGATTCTGAAGGGAACCAATAATGTAGACCATGTCAAGCTGTTTTATCTTGTACTGAAGAGTAGAACCAGAGGACACGGCCTGTATTTGAAGGGGGGCAATTCAGAACAAATCTGTGGAAACACTACTACAGTGAGTGAGTAGTAAACTTATGGAACCGGCTCCCTAGGGAGACAGTGGAAGCAGAAAATGTCTTTTTTTTTTCAAGAATAAATCAGATAGATTTCTGCTAGAAAATAATATCTCAGGATGCAGCATAGACTTTGGCACACTTGTTGAGCGACTGCCAGGATGGTGGAAGTCGAACTAGATGGATCTTGGTCTTCTTTCACCAAGCAAGTTCTTATGTTCTTAAGTGGAAATAGTCTATTTATGTTCACTTTACCAAACCTCTTCATAATTTTAAACACACCTATCAATAATTATTGAATTTTATTCAATTAACACAATTGAAAGATTTGTCATAATTTATCCTTCAACGGCAGATCAGAAGTAATCAACAGGTTTTACATTTTGTACAATTTCTCCATAGGTGTAATTAGAAAGGTGCTGCATCTTTTAAGCTTTTCCCTAGATTACACTTTTGATGTGTCACAGTTGAATTTCTCATCACACACATACAGAGGGAGCTGGAGATGCCTTTAATTGTGCAATTAATTCTGTAATTAATAAAGCCTTTCATTGATAGTTATTGACATAATTGAGGATACCTGTAATTTCCTCAGTGCATGTGCCTTTACACATACATCGTGCACAATACTCGTACAAAAACATGGTGCATAATTGTTATAAGCTATGAGCAGGGCCAATGGAAAATTCTGAAAATGTTTGCCAAAAATTGTGGAGAAATTTGACAAATGTTGCATAAATTGATTGGTGCTATTGAGAGGCATACTTAACCCCTCACCTACCTATTTTCATTTAATTGATAAAAAATAAACATGAAGAAATAACATCATTATTAATGTTTTCTTTAACAAAACCTGGGTGTTCCACTTGGGGGAGGGGAAAAACACCAGAGAAGGGCTGAGTGATCCGTTTCCACCCTTCACTATATTTGAAGGCCTGGAGATACACCGAACACCAGCATGTCTCACCATGCTCACCAGTGTCCTGACTGCGGGGCTCCAACATGTCACCACCTCCTGCCTCTCGTGTCCAGCCACCACACACAGATACCCAGAGAGAGAGACACACACACTCACAGATACAGAGAGAGACAAGCGCACACCCAGACAAAGAGAGACAGTCAGACAGACACAAACAAACCCACTCAGACAGAGACATAGAGGGAGAGATACACACACACACATCTGGAGTCCTGTAGCTCAGTGGTTAGAGCACTCGCTTTGCAAGCGAGAGACCTGAGTTCAATTCCAGGCAGGGCGAAACCTTGGCCAAGTTTCCTTACTCCACACGCCTAATAATAATCCCTCCAAAACAAAACAATAATAAATTGGTCATTTTCAATCTACGACTGTTTGTGGGACACTGCTGTGCGCAATTGGCTGCCACGTTCGCCCACAAATATACAGTCAATTCACTTTACAGTGTGTTCTGTGAAGCGCTTTGGGACGTCCTCCCGACGTGTAAAGCGCTATATCAAATGCAAGGATTATTATTATTATTATATAGGCAGAAAGAGAGAAATACAGAATCTCAACAGTGGCGCCTCAGGGTGAGCGAAACCCATTTCCTGCTAGTGGCTTTGCCGCGTTCCTGACACCCACCGTGCACGTGTGTCCGGAGCCGATCCACCACAGAAGCACACAGAGGAACCAGAGCCCGGACCTGAGCAAAAAGCAGGATCCCACGAAAAAATCGCAGGCTCAATTTTCTGTTGGCCCAGGATATGAGTAACGATTAGACAAACTAGAACTCTTCAGTCTTGAGAGAAGATGATTCAATGGGACCGGAGAGAGGAATATAAGACTTTTAATTGGGATTCAAATACTCAAACCAGAATAGTACTTTAGGGTGCACTAAGGCAGCAGAACACGAAGACATAGGTTTAGAGTTGCAAAGGGTAATTTCAGGACGGATACGAGGAAGCTTTTCTTTATTCAGAATAATCAATGAATGAAGCAGGTTGCCAGAAATGTGGTTAAGGCCAGGAGGACACTGGATACATAAAAAAAGCAGTTGATGCAGTGATGGGGTGGGTGGGGGGAAATAGTAGGGTGGATGTTCTGGAAGGATGATGTTAGAGGAGCCAATGGGCCTTCTTCATCCAAACCAATCTTGTGATATGCTTTGCACCTGGTGTATTCAGGGCACAAAATAGACCCACAAGTTGACACTTTGCTTTTGGGTGGCAGGGAGGTGGAAAACACTATAACAGATGATTTCACTTTTTTTTGTTTTTCAGCCTGTGTGAACTGATAGCAGTTTATTCCTCCATCATCCTCTGACAACACCCCTCCCGCCAACACGCTTGATAACATTCTATTCTGCTAATAAAAGGGGAATTTCTCCCAGTGTCCTGACCAACAATACCACCAAATAAAATTGGTCATTCACTTTATGGGTCAATGACCAATTTTATTTGGGGGATTGTTGGCCAGGACAATGGGAGAAATTCACTTTGTAGGATATTGCTGCATGCAAATTGGCTGCCGCATTCACCCACAAAATACAGTCGCTGCACTTCACAGTATGTCCTTTGAAGCGCTTTGGGACATCCTCCTGACGTGAAAGTTGATTTTACATTTTACTAAATGTAAGGATGATTATTATTATCTTCTCATGATCGCCTAAATAGTGACATTTTC